AGAAAGAGACATCATGGTAGTTACTGTTAATTATGGGTTGTCTTCTGGTGAAATACTGTTTTGCTTACATTGTTCTGTTCTGATCTGCTCTGTTAGGTCCTGTTTTGTCATATCTCTTTAAAATAAAAAAATAAAAAAAAAAAAAAAAGAAAAGTTCCGGGGCCCAAAATTTTCTTTTTCTGCTGTGTTCCATAAATAACCTCACACATGTTCACGGTTTCATCTACTTCTGATATGCTGTAGCAGGTTAATAAATATATTCTAAATATTAGATATAATGTTTATTAAATATGTGTATGCTAAATTGTTATGGTTTGTATCTGGATGTCCCCCAAACCCTCATGTACTCATAGGTGGGACTTTTCAGAGCTGGTTGGATCTAGGGTGTGTGAATGTGAATTAAAGATGTGTCATACTGGGATTAAGGGTGTGATAATTAAATTAGTTCACAGATTGGTTTAGCTTTATTTTGGGTGTGGATGGCACCACCCAAAAAGCTTATAGCCTGGTTTGGATAAAAGAGAAAGGGAGGTTTGCTACTTGCTGCCTCTTGCCTGCCTTGCCATGGACTGTTTCTCCGCTGTGACACCCTCTGCCATGCTATGCTGCCTCTGAGCCAGCTGACTATGGACAGAAACCTCTACAAACTGTGAGCTAATGAAACCTGTCCTTAAGGAGCTAGGGGTTTAGCTCAGCACAAGGTCATGAGTTTGATCTCTGGTTAAAAAAAAACAAAACAAAACACCTTTCCTTTAATGCTGAGTGTCAGAAATTTTGTGCTAGCAACCAGAAAAGTAATAAAGACATAAATCTATTTTGTATCATGTTTTAACGATGATTTCAAGGTATTTTTATCTATTTTATCTCTTCCATTCCCTGCTAAGTTGAAAGTTTATGTATATTTTATCTAGTTCTCTCACTGAACTATAAACTTCTCATTTATTCTATACTTTATTGAGTATCTGCAAGACACTGTCTTGTCTTTTTTCTGGTGGTGTGTGTTCCAACATCTTGCATAGTGTAAGCAAACAGAATGTTGCTTGAATTGATTGGAATTATTTACTGCATACTTGTTATGTATTGAAATGAAAATAAATGTAATATCTGGGTCTTTTTACTTCTTCATCTCTGTCAAAACACTTGCCTCTCCAGAACTCAGTGAATAAATATACTGAAGTATTTGCAGTTTACTAAAGTGGCTTGACCTAATAGTTCTGGTACTATAGTTTTGGGGGATCCAGAACTAGTATGGTCCTAAACACAACCCAAAATTTAATTTCATTTGTTAGGACAGTGATTAATGCTTAATTGGGGGGCCTAGAATTCAGATGTATTAGAATATAAAGAATTATATTTTCTATTTCAGTAAGTCATTTAAGGTTACAGCATACTCTGTCATTTATTAAGTAATTTCATTCACTGAAATAATTAATGGATTCATGTAGTGTGATAGCATTGCTACAGTTTAACATATTAACAATGCCCAGTTCTTTTCCTTTATTTATTTTTTATTTATTTATTTATTTTTTGTCTTTTTCATTTTTATCGGTACCAGGGATCGAACTCACGACCGCCTGCTTGCAAGGCAGGTTCTTATGCCGCTGAGCTAAATCCCCAGCCCCCTTTTCCTTTATTTTTAAAAAATCATCTTTTTTTTACAGCAAGATATCCCTGTGAATTTTCTTCTGTAGTCAAAACTATTTCTCACATTTGGATTTTCATTATCAACTGCATTTCCCTTTTAATGTCTTTAAATATTTGTCACTGAGCTACATAACTAGTCCTTTGATGCTTCTATTTGCTGCTTTTTCTTTACTCTCTCTTTTTGCATTACCATACTCAAGGCTTTTGTGCTTAGGTTTTCTCCTATTCAGTTTTTGAGATCTAGTTTGTGCATAAAAGTTTCATTAAACATTTAGTACTTCATAATTACTACTGTTACTATTATTACACTTTTATACTATTACAGTTCAGGTGTTAAGTTCCAGTATAAATAATTTTATCAATGAGACAAACTCCTGATTACTGATGAGTTCTGAGTGGTAGTGTTGTAGCTGAGATCTGTCTGCATGTCAGTGATGTACATTCACAACAGTTTGGTTTTGTTGTCCTTGGTAACTGCTTTTGTAGTGTGAGAATTTCCATATTGTATAAAGTTTTTATTTGTATTAAGTACCAGAGTAAACTGGGAATGCCCATTTTGATGGATCATGTAAATGAAATGATTCCAAGGGAACCTCCCACCTAAGTGGATGAAAATACACACAGATTTATAATTTATTATGTACCTGTTTGTATGAAGAAAAATTCGCATGGTGAAAGAACACAAAGAGCTGTTTGACTCTGAGCAAACGACCACACTTTTCTTTGTCTTGTTAGGTTGCAATGAAATCGAGCAAATTAGAATAATGCCTTGTAGATAATAAGTGTTCAGAAGTATTTGCTATTATTAACTATTGGTGAAGCAGTTTAGTCAAGTATTTTTGTTTGGAATCCATGTTTAGTGATGATGAAATCACTAACCTATAGGAACGAAAATTTTTGTCAAATAAATGCAATTATGGTGTGTTTTTCTCTGAATCTCGAGGATTTGAAGGGCATAATTTACGATTAGCTGCCCAATTAATGTAAATTTTTTCAGTGAGAAAGTAGAGAAGTCAAGAGGATTTAAGGCAGGACTAGATTCCTGAGGAACTTTTTATCTTAAGTGGTAGTGACTTTTCTTTTGCTCAGTTCAAAAGCAAAGGAAAGAGCTCCTAAGCAGTGTTTCTCTGCCCTCAGAATACCTGTTAAAAAGGAAGCCTTATAGAACCCTCTGGGAGTCTACTCATTCTTCGCTGGGTCTTAAACATCATCTCAGATGCTTCTTATATAACTTTTCCTTTGGAGAACCATAGCACATTCAGTAATGCAGAGTATACTCACAGTCAACTGGACCAAACTCAGCACACCTTCTAGGGTAGGCTGTACTGGTGACCGCCTCAGCTACTTGACCTTTTGCCTCGCCATCCTGCATCTCCCGACAGCTTTAAGGTCCTAAAACTGTCCTCTGCCTAAACTCCACAGTTATGACCCGCAAATATCGCATTCTTTAGCTGTTTTCCTCAATAGTAGGAAAAGAAAGGAGATTTTGGCACTCTAGAGGTTGCGGAAACCAAACATGGGTCTGTTCCACCTTAAAGGGCCTAGGCATGCCTAGTGTTTGGGTCTTGCAGAGTTTGGGCACCACCATATTTGGATCGTGCCTACTTTGGGGCGGGAACCTTCTTGGGAGTGATTAGGTCAGCGCTGGAGGAGGTGACCTTGTTTGGTTTCTGGCACCCGAGAACAGTGGTGCACTGTTCCTGCTGACCCCGTTTGTCTAATTGGCCGAGACGCTCTACCAGCCGAGGTTGCCCTGGAGCTCCTCGCTGGCCACCCCCGCGGCCCGCGGCCGGGCAGAGGCGGGAAAGCCGCGCGCCTGCGCCGTGGGAACCGGGGCCGAAGGCGAAAAGCGGGGAGCGGAGGGGGGCCGCGGGAGCCGGTAGCGTACAGAGCGGCGTGTGACGCGGGGACGCCGCGCGCTCCCAACGTCGCCCCGGTTTGACGCACACGGCACCAAACTGTGAGTTTCAGGGGGTTATTTGGTCGGATTAGCCAGGACCTGAGTGGGTTTCAGGCCTCTGGGCTGTGGCGGCGGCGGGACTGTGGGTGGCGGAAAAACTTGGGGGACCCGGCCTCCGGCGCGCGGCCCGGGGAGCTACGCCCTAGGCTGGGTCCCAACCATCCAAAAGGACGCATTTTGCCGCACAGGCTAAGATGGCGGCGGCGGCCGAGGAGGCGGAGTTGGTGCTACACAAGGAGCCCGGGCCCTGGGTTCGGGGAGGCGGCGGCCGCAGGGGGCCGCGGAGCCTGAGGTGAGCGGCGGCCGCCGCCGCGGGGCGGGACTCGGCGGGGGGCGGGGGGGGCCTTTCCGCCGCGGCGCCGGAGGATCCGGGAGCGGACACAAAGGGGCTGAGCTGGGCAGTAGACTTGGGGGTTTTGTTTAGTCACAAGAAGCTGAGCAGCCAGTGAGCCGTCGGGGCAAGGGGCCGAGATCAGGCGGCTTGGGGAGCCTGGCGGTCGCCATTGCAATGCACTGAGTAACGGGGCGGTCCGAGGGCAGTCGTCACGCCAGCCCCTCTGCCTTTGAGGCTGCTCGGTCCTAGCCGGAGGCGCCAGCTCTGGCGTGAACTATACACACCCCTCCCTTGACTTGGGACGGGACCACAGAGCCCTCCCCTCCCCCTGTTCTGCAACATCTTGTGCCGCTAGGTGCCTGGGAAGTAGCAGCAAGAGGTAAATCGCTCGAAGTGTTCGGGTTGCCAGGGGCTTGGTGGGTGTCCAGCTAAAGCTTTTTGCCTCTCCAGGTCTGATTCCCTGGCCTTTGGGTCCCTGGGAGCTTAATCTCTGCCAGAGGAAAGCAGGTGTGCTCCACTTCTCCCGTGAACCTGAAGATGAGTTGTCCCAGACCCTTCTCAGTGATTGGAAACTTAGGTGGTGGAGCTAAAGGTTTCTTGTTACGGGACTTCCACAGACGACTCTCGTGTCGGGATCCATCCATGGTTTAGCGACATTAGTGGAAAAGTTTTCCTCAACTGTTTTAAGTAATATTGACTTTTAATACAGTTGTTATAAAACTTCTATATTTAGACGTTTGATTTTATGTGATCATTAAACTCAGCAAAGGGATACATATAATTGAGGCCTGAAATGATGGTACTGTTTTGTATGCAAGTTAATAATCTCAAGGAAATAAGCCAACACGGTCATCTGTTCTGGCCACTCCTGACTAAAGCCAAGCTTGTTGCATCTGGGTGATGTATTAGATTTGCCTTAATGCTATATTCCTTCTCTGCAGTAGTTTAGTTAAATGCTTAGGCCCCACAAGAAGCAGAAAGCATTTTAAAAAGTAGACAACGAAAGTTCCTCAAAGAAAGGAAATCTGCTCTTTGCCTTCAGTGCCATGTGTAAGTATCGTGGGAACTTGATGGTAGCAGTATTGTATTTTGGTAGGTTTGGTAAGAAAAAAGTTTGTATTAAGATTGTAATTTAGCTTAGACATTTTAATAGGTGAAACATGAATGCTTAACCATTAGTGCAGTAGTATATATAAAATGCTCTTAAAGCCATAGCTGTCAGTTTCAGAATTTCTAACAGTACATAATGCAAGACCTTCATATTTTATACTGGAATTAACTAATCGAAGTACCAATTTCAGAGCATCAAATGTTTTGTGTTTTCTTTAACAGAATGACTTGACGGGATATTTAAATACATGTAGATCATTAACTTAAGTTTCTGTGTTCAAAATGAAATTTAAACTTTAAAAATTAAACTTTTATTTAACTTCTTTTCAGATACATATCCCCTTTATTTTTGTAATAAGCAAAAATGTATTAATGAATAGGAAGATATTAGTAACAAAATTATTCTGGATCATACAGTTTTACAGTGGAAGGAATCTCGACCACAGTTTTTACCTGTTTCTCTTAAATACAGTATGGATGGTTAAGTTAATGGCGTAGTGGAAAATTGTCTTTCAATTTCTACTCCATTTGTTTTTTTTTGCCATATTGTTGGGACAAGAAGGTGAATTACCTACAATTAATAATGGTTAAAAACAAAACAAGGGAGTATCACTGAAAATACTTACCATTTAAAAATCTATAACATTATTGAGAACTGTGACGGTAAGTTAATTTTCATTTAATGTTATGTGGTAACAGTTTTTGGGTGACTTTCAGTTAAGTCTGATGAAAATGTGAAATTTCAGAGCAGAATAACTTAGGAGTTTTGAGATTTTCCAAAACCAGATGATTCAGTAGTTTTAAGTTTAAAAGCAAAACCAAATACTTGATGAGTTTCTTGGAAAGTATGAAACAGCTGCCAGTTATTGCCAGTTATTACCTAAGAAATCAGATAGATGGGGAAAACAGTGGTCCTTTCAGTTGGATAAACAAACATGCCACTTAGACTGCTCCTTTTTAAAACAACTTTTGTAAACATACTACTACTACTGAGTATAAAGTTTATTAGGAAATTTAGCAAGTAATAGAATCATTTTTGGTGGGATCCCACCAAATGACGGTTAACTTTTTTGGGTGTGAAATTTGGCAGAAATAGTTAAAATTGTTTTAAAACTCTTTATCAGTCATTTAAGGTGCTTTTAAATTGAGTTTTCTAGGAATGTTGGTAATTGCTTCATAATTTTCAACACTGAGTAGATTTAATTACAGTCTAGTCTTTTGATAATTAATGTTACTTTCAGGTTATTTAATTATAACGTGAGGTTGTCACCTGTTAACGTTAATGTTTTCTGGGTTTAGTTTGTCATTCAGGTTATAGGAGAGAATTTGGTTGATTTCAGACGGTAAATGGGTAGCAGAATCTCAAGATGGTGGAGATACATCTTAACTGTTGTCCAAAGACCCTGGGTTATTTCTTAGGCTCTCTTCACTGTGACTCTGGGGAGAAAAGAGTGGATCCTTTTTTTAGGATTGCTTTTCATGAAGATAGCAAGGCCTTGTAGTTTGTAGCAGTGTAGAGATTGGCATGTTGAATTATCCAGTCATAATTTGTAGAACGCTAGTTTCTATAGTCCTTCCAAAAAAAGTTTTTAAATTTTAAAAAAGTGTTAGCCTTGTAAAATAAAATATGAGAATGAATCATGGATATAAGAAAATTTGAATACTCAAATGAACTCCATTGTTTTTTACATTTAATCTGTAGCATAGGGTGTTTTGTACATGGAGAATCTGTAAGGATTGAATAAGTTATAATGCATAGCTTTGATTGAAGTCATTCCAAAAGTAATTTTGATTGAGGTTTATTAGAGGGAAATAACTGCTTTTTATAGTGTGAGCTATTTGTACCATTAAGTTTTGAGGGATTTGAAAATCATTGAATTGATTCTAGCACTAGCTCACCCTGCTGGTTGACTAAAGTATTTCACCCCTTTCCTCAACATACAGAACCACATGAAACTTAGATTATGGAACACTAAATTCTTCTTTGGTCTTCAGTGAGATAGAGTCTTTGTGAAAAAGGTGTTTTTTCCTTTTTTTTTTTTTTTTAAATAGATGTTTGCTTATCTCATGCCTCAGTTGGTCCACTCATTTTTTTTCAGTTCTAATAAGGTTAAACTGGATTTATTTCCTTTTTGAATTTAATAGGAACTCATGCAATTATGGAATTAGAATGTTTTTATATTTTTAAATTCAAGATAAGAAATCCTTTGACAGTTGAGAGATGTTAGAGGAAAAACAAAATGTCCTGTGAGATGACTTTCCAGGAGGAGAAAAGCAGAGGATTTCAAGAGGAAGAGGAGGAGCCTGCCAGAGGAGAAGCAGTTAGCAGAGCACACTTCTTTTGGGTGGCAGAAAATAAGACTGGATTCAAGTTAGCTTTTCTAAGAGTTTCTTTTCAGTCTTCCTCTACTACTAATCCTTCTACCTCTTCTATCTGAAATTTGTAGCCTTCCTATTCACTTAAGATTTTTGGATCTGTGATATTATAAATAAAAATATAAAATAAGTGATTTGTTCCATGAAATTTAATTCATAAGTCTAGATTGTGGTGGAATTTAAATTGCATAGAATATGTTCACATTTTATGTGTTAAGCCTTTTAGATTATATAGCATTTATGTAAGCTGAAAATATAGTGCTATAAGATCTTGTTTTTGGTCTGGAAATTGAACTGGGTTTCTAGTGTGTACTTTGCTTTTGAGCCAAATCCCAGTCCTGTGAAGACTTTCTGTGTGAAGCATATAGAAACATAATTATGTTAAGAGCCAAATGAACTATTGAAAATTTAAAAACACCTAATAAAGTGTCAAGATTAAAGTACAGCTTCCAAAAATTTACTTGTTTACTTGAATTCCATCAATTTGATTTTTAAAAAGGTGAATATTTAAATTCTTCCATGGTATTTATTGTTTGCAAACTTACTGGATATATGTGTATCTGTATATATATTTCATCAATTTCTTGTGGAAAATAGTACTTTTTTTTTTTCCTTTTTATCGGTACCGGGGATCAAACTCACGACTGCCTGCTTGCAAGGCAGGTGCTTGTGCCGCTGAGCTAAATCCCCAGCCCCCAAACTAGTACTTTTAATAGTACCATTTGTTGAGGAAGGAGAGTAATTCCTAGTTTATCACTGAATGATTTGTGGTGGTAAATAAGACTTGCCAAAGTTGGAATTGTCTTTTGCTTGATAGTGACTCCATGAATGTTTTATAGACACGCCAAGCACACACCATATATACACATAGAATCACAGAGTGTAAGCCTTGAAGTAGAACTGGAAGTGCTCAAATTTAGCATTGTAAACACTAGACAGATTTATTGATAATACCATCTTTAAAGAGGTTTAGGATTTACATTAAAGAGTTTATATAGAGTCCTTAGCTTTCTGGCATACAATACAGAGTAATTGTTAGTATTAATAGTTATTACTGTTTCAGTGGTTAACTTGCAGTTTCCACCTGGGGTCATTTGGAGTTGTATACTTATGCTAGTGTCCCATGTTAGGCCATGCCCATAAAGACAGTTATTAAGAAAGTGAGGCAGGAACCAGGTTAAATATTTCAGGAATTTGTTCCATTTTATGATTGTCAACTGATGAATAGGTGTGTGCTAGAGTTCATTTTAGTGAAATTATTTCCCAATCAAGTGTTTGTCTTCATTGCAACATCCTGAATTTCTTCACCCTCTCAGTTTTTTATTTTGTGGTGGTAGTGCTGATTAGTAAAGAGAAGAGTGAATAGCTACATAAATTTGTATTTGAATGAGGAGTGGCTGGCCTAGAAGCTGGGTGGAGAAAGGGGAATGTGATTTTTTTCCATTGGATAATCTGAGTTAGGGAATTTCTCCAAACAGCATTTCCTTTTGGTTTTATCCTCCGCAGTTTTGTTTTGTTTTTTGAGTATGTCTGTGTTGGTATAATGTCATTACCTTTTCCCATCTTTTCTTAATTGCCTGTCATGCCCACCACAAATTTTAAGCTTTTTAGCAGAATCATAAATGGTAGCTAGTAAAAATAAGTTTACATAGGGAGGTATGTTTATGTTAGAATACTACAAGTTTATATTGGTTAGTCTAGTGGAAGTTTCATTTATGTTTTAAAATATTTTCAGCAATTTGAAAATAGAGGGAAAAATCATACCATTAATAATTTATATTCAAGAGGAGCCTGATGCTGACTTTAATTAAATATCTAAATGCTACTTGTAATAATCCTTTGATGTGTGTATATCCATCTCATGTAAGGAAACAAATTTCAAACTTAGGTCATAATGGTAAACAGTGGGGCAGGCAGACTTAAACCTAGGTTCTATCTTGATTCTGGAGATAGTTTTGTTTCTGTTCTCCCTTCCTGTTTTCTTAAATGTCTGTTCTACCTGGTTATTACATGATTTGTGAGTTAGCTTCTGATTTGAAAACTTAACATTATAAAAGTATTCTTCTGCCTACCCCTTTTTCAAGTGGTATCTTATTGCACTCATTGTGTATTCAGACTATCATATAAAGGCTCTTTGTCTTAGCTGTTGGACATTGGTGCAGTGATACTGGCCAAAATGGAAACTGTCTTTTTCTTCCCAGAGTGACTTAGATCAAGCTTAGAACTAGTTTCCAGTGGATTAGGAATGTTTTTTTTTTTTTTTTTTTGGTCTTTTTCATTTTTTTTTTTTTTTTTTTTTGGCACCAGGGATCGAACTCACGACTGCCTGCTTGCAAGGCAGGCGCTTACGCCGCTGAGCTAAACCCCCAGCCCTTTTTTTTTTTTTTTTGTCCGTACCGGAGATTGAACTCACAACTGCTTGCAAGGCAGGCGCTTATGCCACTGAGTTAAATCCCCAGCCCCAGGTTAGGATTGTTACTGGTTTACTCTCTTTTCTGTTGTGACATTTAACTCAAAGTTGGATGTAAGTAAAATACAAATGACATACTTGATTTATAGTAATCTGAAAAACTTAATTTTTACACTTTTAAATGTCTTAAGCTTCCTTATTAAAATTGTTAAAATATTAAAATTAAATATATTCATAGGTTTTTAAATTAAGTGGACATTTGGATCCTACTTAGTTACTATTACAGTATTTGTTTAAAAAAATAGTTTACTATTGAATTCTTACATTCTCGAGATGACATCGTTTGTATGTGAAGTAGTACATGTCTTAGTTTTGGTCTGTTTAGCTTCTCTGCAATATTTACATTTTTAAAACATGTGTACAAAAAATAATTACAGTTTTGTTGATTAAAAGGAGAAAATATTGAGAGGCATTCGTAATAAAGTCCAATAGAAGTATAAGGTGATCCATAAACAGAATTTAAAATTTTCTATAGCCACATTAAAAAAAGAAATTAGGGAAATTTTATTAATGCAAGTCTTCAAAATCCATTGTTACTATACACTGAAAGGATATCTTAGTTCAGCATAATTAAACATTACGTGCACACACTGTGCCACACTGTATTGTACAGTATAGGTGTAGAAAGTCCTGCTGTGGTATGGAGAAAGGATAAAGTAAAAATTGAGCTGAACTTTAAAGGATGACTGAGAAAAGGGAATGCTGGGGAAGAATATTACTGCAAAGAATTTTTGGTAATTATAATAGGAACTGTAAATTGAAACCAGGTAATACAGTAGAATGACTTGAAAGCCTTGCAGATATTCAAAATTAGAGTTCTGTTTAGGGAATATTGGTTCTCTGATTAGCAATATGGTGGAGGTTGATCAAAAAGGATGAGAATTTAAAGGTTTTAGATTTAGCCATTATTGGTGACTTGTTTTTAAGTGTTTAAGTGTAGCCTATATATACTGAAATACACCAATTTTATGAGTACTACCCAGTGAATTTTATAAATATGCCCAATAAACTGTCCAGATCAAGATAAGGAACATTTCTCTGCACTAAAAAAACGTGCCTTGTGCCTTTCTGTTAATTCCTGCTCTTAGAAGTAGTCATAGCCTCTAACACTAAAAATTAATTTTCTTTCTTTTTTGAACTTCCTTATGATGTGTTTTTCTTTCCAAGAGTAGTAAAGAGTTGATTTCTGAATTTCTTCTCTGTCCTTGTATGAATTTAGAAGTAAATCAGACAATAGTAGATATTGTAGCCTTTCTCTTTTTTCCAGTGTGGTTTATGCCAAAATCAAAGAGGTGCCCTTTACCAATTAAGTTTTATAACCTGAAAATTGATTTGGAATGTAGAGATTTGTATCCACAGATAACATAGTTGTCTGGCCTACTCTCCTAATACTGTTCTCATGGCATGTAGCTTAGAAGCAGGTGGAAGGTTACCTTGCGTAGATGCAGTTTGGAGCCTTTTCAATGTTTATTATACATGATACCTTTTAGGCATTTCAAGTTGCTTAATAAGGTACTTAATTCTTACTGTAATTTCAGAAGTAAGAATAGGTATGCTGCTTTTTATAGTTAAGTGTCTCTCTTAACCAGAAAGATTTTGACCTTTGTTTATAATTAAATATTACCTTATAGACAATCACATAAAAGATTACATGATTAAAACCTGTGAAGGAGACTTTTTTTTTTTTTTTTTTTTGGTACTGGGGATTGAACTCACGATCTTATGCTTGCCAGGCAGATGCTTATGCCGCTGAGGTAGAGACTTATTTATAAACTGAGAATTAAAATGAAATTGTTAATCATGATTTTTACTTCTCGCACTTGAATTAGTTTGTTTTGTATGTTTTGTTTTTCCAAATATAGTTAATACTTATATTATTGTTAAATTGGTGCTTTTGGGAAATTTTTTTTTCTGATTATGTATGATCAGTAAAAAGCACACATTATTAAAATATGTATCTTCACGTTCTAGTAAACTGAGTTTTGAAGAATTACTACGTTTTGTAAATTGTGTAGAAATTTTCTCATTCATTGGTTTCTGAATGCTTTTGAGTTTATAAGTGAAAATTTTTACTTTATAACATTTTGTCTTTTAGAATTTGTAATAAATATAACATACTACCACTCCAAGAATTTCATTACTTGTCTTGAAGAAACTGAGTAAACTGTTAACTTTCCTTTTGTAAGTTTTGTTTTTGTTTTTATTTTGGTAGTGTGAATCAAACTTTCAACCTCATGCATGCCAGAAAGGTACTTCTCCAGCTTCTTTTAAGACAAGGTCTCACTATGCAGGCTGGAGTGGAACTCGCTATTCCCCAGACTGGCCTATAATCCGGGATACTGAGGCAGTTCTCTTGCCTCCCTTGGCTTCCTGAGTGCTGGGATTCCAGGCATACATACATCATTTATGCCCAAAAGTTTTGTAGTTTTTGTAAAGTGTAAAAGGATATAGCAAAGGTAGTAGATTATACACTGAAAAATATTTGTTTTTATCTCAAATATTAAAACATAGCTCTTAGGGAGTAGTTTTAGAAAAATTACAAAACAATTAGAATGTTATAGCTTCAAGAATTATATGGTAGGGGAAAAAAAAGTATGTTGTACATTTGCATATTTGCATTTGGTTTTGTGAGACTTGTACAGAAGCCTTGTGTTATTGTAATTCCTCAATCTTTTTTCACTTGTTTTTAGCTTGGTTAGTTAAAATTTACTTAGTATTTCACTAAGGACAGAATATAGTTCCTGCTTCGAAGAGTTCATTGATCGGAAACTACTTGAGAATACTTAATAATGATACATTTCAATTACTGCACTGACAAAATGTGAGTGGCTTAATAAAGCTTCTTGGCAGAAAACAATTTTTAAGCTAGATTTTGAAGAAATGGTGTATATAGATTGGTGAAAAATAAATTATCAGCTAGTAATAAAATTTTAAAACAGACTGACAGTTGTGAAATGCAAATGTTTTCCTTGGGTTAAAGTAGGGTTTAAAATGAATGTAAAGAGAAATAAACTTGATTAAGATTGTGGCATGAGCTGGAGGAATTGAATATTGATTAGCAATTAGAAGTAAGATGTTACTATGGAAATTCATTGACCAGTACTAGGTAAAGAAGTATGAAAGACTCAAGTAATGAAGTTAGGAAGTCCAGTTACAGTTACTTGTAGTTGAAGTAGGTTATATTAAGAGTAAGTGCAAATATAAACAAGTTTGGAATACAGAATTAATGTGACAAGTTTTTCATATTTTGATATTCAAAATGAAGTTATTTGAAGATAATGTGTTGAGTTATGAGATACATTTTGACTTTCTATAATTGTAAACTCGCTGATTTAAGCTTTTTTTTTTGCCTCATGTTTGGTTTGGAAATTTAAGTAAAACTCAAGAAAGTTATAATTGCTGGTATTTTGAAATATTTGGGCTAAATGGTAAGAGTTTGTACTAAATTTGAGTTATAACTGTAGTTTAGTCTTGGTTTGAAAGACATCCTAACTTAGGAGTTGGTAGGAAAATAAGATAATAAAAGCTAATCGTCTGCTAATGTTTGTATTTGTTTTTAAACAGATATTCTAAAATTCAGGAACATTTGGAAACACTCTTGTTTTTATGAGAAAAAGTTATGTAATTCCCTCTGAGCAGTATTTTTTGATGTTTAAAAATGTAAGATGCTTGTCTCTGCTGGACTTTGTAAGTGCTAAATTGAATGTATGCTTTTTAATGAATAAAGATCATTTTAAAGTAGAATTAGAAAATTATGAAACACTATGTCAATTATGTAATTTTAAATATTTTTTCTGCCTTTTTAAGAGTTAAGAAATAGAAATTTGAAAGTTAATATAGTCTTACAGTTTAGTGGTAGTCTGGGTTTTTTTGTTTTGTTTTGTTTTTGGTACTGGGGATTGAACTCATGATCTTGCGCTTAGCAGGCAGGCAGGCAGGCACTTAAGTCATTGAGCTAAATCTCCAGCCCTGTTAGTTTTAAAATAATTACATTTTAAACATTTTTCACCATTGTCATAAATTTATAAAAATGTTAATAGTGAGTTTCTGGAAAGATGATGTTTTTGACTCTAGGTTATCTATGAGGCAAATTAGCTAAAGCAAAAGAGAATAGGTTACCACTTCCCATCAGTGAAAACTAGAAACTTTATATCTGGAAATTTGGGCTTTCTGTATAGATACGGTAGATTAGAAGAGGAAGTGGCAGAACTGTTTGTTCCTTGATTATCTTGATGAACTATAAGTGTGGGGATAGGAAACTTCCCTGAGAGCCTAGTCCTGCATCTCTTTTAAGTATTCCCTAGTTTATACCTTTATGGCTACAGAGTTTTTGAAAATAGGCCTATCATTAGCTGCTTATTTTGTTTTGGTACTGGTAAGCTGAAAAACAATGAAAATTACATGCAAGAGGACTAGCAATTTGAAAAGAGTGAATACTAGAAAAATACACTGTTCATACTAAAGTACCTTATATAGGTGCTTTTCAAAAGTCTCATGATGTGTGGTACCATTAACACAAATAGAACTCTTAACTAGACACTATTAAGTGGCGTTTTTAACCACTTCCCTGTTCATCTTACTTTCCAAGCTTGATTCATCAACTTTCAAGTTTTATTACCTGAGATTCTTCCAATATTCTTTAATTTCTTAATTGATTTTTTTCTCTTTAAAGATTGCATTAAACATTTTCCCAGTTTTTTGAGTTATTTAAGCAAAACAGCAAATGTTGAAAATTAAAAGTACAAAAAAAATTTTAAAAATGACAAAAATATACTAAAACTTCCAAGCTAAAGAGTTGTGAGTTTTTTTTTTATATCAAGCAAAGGTAATTTCAAGCCAGAGCAATTGAATGAAAACAAGATTTTTAATTAATAAAAAATTAGGCATTGAATAATAGAATTTGTGTGATAAAGAAGCAAATAGCTTTAAAATATATGTAGCATGGCTTCTTTATAGAAGTTGGCAATACTAGTTACCAATTTTAATTTACCTTTAGAATTTTATAGATCAGGAAGCAAATGTTAAAGTAGAAAGAGATTTTTTTTTTTTTAGTAAGAGATTTAAATAGGAGCTGGGGATTTAGCTCAGCGGAATAAGTGCCTGCCTGGCAAGTGTGAGGTTGTGAGTTCGATCCCTGGTACCAACGAAAAAGAAAAAAAGATTTAAATAGCATTATGTTTTAATGTCAGACTTCGTTGCCAATAGAAGAAAAATACATATTAAAATTTGTTTCATTTTCTTAATGTATGGCCTCAAAGAGACTTGAATTTTATTTAAGAGAATTCTGCAGGTCAGTTTATTTTATTGTGATATAGTAAAACTCAATGCTAAGTCCAAAACTAACTATTTGGACTATTAAAACCGTATATCCTACTGAAGCTTGTGCCTCAATCTCATACTATTCAGAAATTAACAACAGTGAGGAATGTGAATATTTACTTGGTCAAGGTGGGTTAAATAGCCACTTACTTGGTTGCCATCAGCCTCTCACTACAATTATAATACAGTAATACCTCATTTGTCAAAATCAGTTTGGTCTGAAGTTGTGTTCGAACACTGAAACAACATTTGAGAATGAGCATACTTTTTCCGTAATAAACAATGGACAACTAAATAATTATACTTACAGTTTCATTTTTCCTGGACTTTAACAAATTTCAAAATTTCTTTAACTCTTATGGTTCTCACAGATTTTCTTAGTTTTACTACTGCTGTCAGTTTCTTTGAAGCCATAGTTATAACAAGTTTTAACACACTGACACAAACATTACATATTGTCTAGGTGAGATGCACTTGGACTCAAGTTTCACTCATTTGTGTCTGTGGTGAGATGTAATGGATGACTTTTTTTCAAGTTGGGTTTTCAGTTCGACTTGAACTAAGTTTCTAACCCTGAGCAGATTATTTTTAAACTTTGCTGTTCAAGTAGTGGAAAATTTGAGTTTGGAGTCAATGTAACAAGGTATCACTGTAGTGGTGTTTTAGGCATAGAAGCTCAAGGATAAAACTAGAAGGTAATCATAGAAGTAAAACTTTGGAAGATCAAAGGCAGCAAATGTTTTTTGTAGAAAAACTTTGTAGAAAAAAAAAGAAAAACTTTGTAGAAAAAGCTTCCACTCTTAGTGGTAAAGGCCTAGAATTTGAATGCTGTAGGAATTGATGGCTATGGGAAAAAATTGTGTAAAGATCTGTGTAACAAACAAGAGGCTAGAAAGGGTCTCTTAAGTTTCTTACATTCACCCAGAGAATCTGGGCATAGTTTAGGTTAAGGGCATCTACAATCAGAAAAGGTTGAATAGAAGTCAACATGTTGAACTGGAAATCATTTTCAGCCTCTTTTCATCCCAGTTCTAAGAATACTGCACAGAAATTCTATACCCTTACTGCTATCAGAGATTAGGAAAAAACTGGCAAAGTGAGGATGCATCAGGAAAATGGTCCAGATTGATCATCATATAGTTAAAACTACCCACTAACAAAATTTTTAAGCAACTATAAGTGCATTTTGAGACTTCAGCACCATACATACTCAAGAATAAACCCAGTATGAGATAGAAGGAAAAAGAAGCATTTCAAGAAGAAAGGTTTTTACAAAATGTTAGTGATTTTTGGAAGTAAAGGGCTACTGCATCTTTGAAACAAAAAAATTATGCTTTAAAAAAGCAGTAATTAATAACGAAGAACTCTTGAAATTTAGAATATGAAAAATAGAAGGCTTGGCAATTTAGAAGGTAAAATATCTTTTATGTTTTTTTTTTTTCATGGTACCGAGGATCAAACTCAAGACCTCATGCTTGCCAAACAAGCACTTGTGCTGCTGAGCAGAATCCCCTGGCCAACATCAGTTGGAGAACAATCTATCACAACAGGACAAAAATACAAAGTGGAAAATTAGAACACACTTGCAGGTGCAACATAACATGAGAAAATGAGTAGAAGAAATTAATAATTGAGAAAAAATCAGTTTTCACAGTGAAAAGGTTCATGGGTGGTCATCACAGTGATTAAAGGAAAAGAACCACATCCAGTTACATCATTGTGAAATTTGTAAAATACACCAGATTTTACATTGTAAAATACACCAGAAGTAAAGGAGGTTGTAAAAGTTTTTTAACAGTAGTGAATAATAAAAGAACATGAATCAACATTGATAGTAATTGATAATGGGACAATGACTTCAAATTTTGAAGTTACTTCTAAACCATTTATTCTGTACTTTACCAAGCTGTCAGATGTGGGAGTTGGCTTCCAGGTGTACTATGTCAGGATATTACTAGAAGACTCGGCATTTCATTAAGGTGGTGGGGTAAAGTAAAAAGAAGAATCAGGAAATAAGGTGTTATACAGGAATAATGAAGAAACTTTCTAGGATAGTGGTGAAAGAAGATCCATGTGGGAAGCTGTACAGCAATTTTGAAAAATAACCAATGTGGGATAGGAAGACAAGGATCTAGGTGGTACATCTTTAAAAAAAAAAAAGGTTGAGTGGCTGTCACTAAAATACCTGGGTTTAGAACTGTTACAGATTTTGGAATATTTGAATAAACCTTATCATATGGGTTGCTCAGAAAGTTTTTGGATTTTGGATTAGGGATGCTCAGGATTTTTGTGACAATTCATGAGAGATATTTATAATTTTCTGGAGTTACTTCTTTTGATACAAGAGTAATACTGGTCTTGTAGAATGTAATACTGGACTTGCAGAGTTGCCCCTTCTGTTTTTGTGAAGAGTTTGAGGAAGATTAGTATTAATTTTTCAGACATTTGGTTTAAATGTTTTTTACCAGGGAAGTTGTCTTGTCCTGGACTTTTTTGTTACCTATCTATTGAGATTTCTTATGTTTTCTTTTTTTCTTGTTTATTTATCATTTATTATTTGTTTACATGTTTGTAATTCATGCAATATACAATTATTTTGGAGAGTGGTCACGTGTATATTACAGCTTTTTTCCCCTCTAGGTTTCTTAGGTTGTGATACTTCATTGTTTTTTAATGATATTATCTAATTTTTGGCATACAGTTGTTTATAGTGTTTTCTTATAATCCTTAATTTCCTATAAGGTTAACAGAAATGATGCCTTTTTCAGTCCTGATAATATTCAGCTGATGATGTGTGTTTTGTTAATCTCTTCAAAGAATCAACTTTTGATTTCATTTTTGTTTTCTCGTTTCTAAATTCTGTATTTCATTTCTGCTGTAATCTTTTTTCCTGTTTGCTTTGGACTTAGTTTGTCTTTCACTGATTTTGAAAAATGGAAGTTTAGGTATAGATTTAGATCTTTTTAAATGTAGGCCTACAAACATTTCTTTTTTAAAATTTTAATTAATTAATCTTTTTGGTACCAGGGATTGAACTCACGATCTTGCACTTGCCAGGCAGGTGCTTATGCCGCTGAGCTAAATCCCCAACCCCCAATTGAACTTACTTCATTTTGTGAATTTTGGTATTTTTTCGCTTGTTTTCCTTTCAGTATATTTTCTGATTTCTTTTTTGGCTTATTTACTTTTTAAGAATTTGTGCTAAATTTCTACTTAATTTCCGAATTTTCTCAGTTATTGATTTTGTTGCTCCTCTATTCTTCTAGTGTTTCCCTTTGTGTTAGATATTGTTAGTTTCAGTATGGTCAGAGAACATTAATTCCTTTTAAACTTATTGAGACTTTTTAAAAATAGACTAACATGATTTATACCAGAGGATATTCCTTGTTTATTTGAAAAGAATGTGTATTCTGTCATTCTCCAGATTTCTGTTAAGCCTAGTTTATTTGTGGGGTTCAAGTCTTCTGTTTCCTTGTTAATTGTCTCTTACTGTATCAATTACTGAAAATGAGATACTGAAGTTTCCGGCTATTACTTATCAATTCTTTGCCCTTTCAGTGATATTAGTTTCTGCAATATGTACTTTGAGCTCTTGATAAGTGTATGTATGTTTATAATAGCCATATAGTATTGATTCATTGAAGTTTTGATTCTAAAATGTTTTTGTTTATAGTACTAATTTTTGTTTTAATGTCTGTTGTGTCGTCTAATGTCTAAGTATAGCCACTGCAGCTCTCTTGATAACTGATTGCATGATACATCTTTTCCCATACATTTATGTAATAGTTAAATTTGTCACCTTGATTAGCTTGGGAGTCATCTAGGGGATTACTGAAGCACACTATGGGGTGTGTCTGTGCAGATTATGAAGGCACAATGTTTGGTATTATATATGGTTTCTTGGGCCTTCCTCTACGGCACTGTTTCCCTGTTCTGCTTCTCAGTTGCAGTGAACTAAGCAGCTTTGCTCCTCCATGCCTTTTCACTATGTTTATATACTGAAGCTACCTGTGGGCTGAGACTGTTGAAACCATGAGGCAAATTAAACATTTCCATTAATTTGTGGATATTGGATATTGTGCCCCAGCAATAGAAAAGCAAATACAGAAAATTGATACCAAAAAGTGGAGCTGTTGTTCAGATTATACCTGACCATGTGGTTTGGAATTGTTAAGTTTGGACAAGTTTGGAGAAGCAGGTTGGAGAAGGCCCTCGAGTGCTGTAAACAGAGCTTGATGGTGATTCCGCTGTGACTCGGAAGACAAGAATGCTGATAGGATTGTATACAGTAAAGACCAGACTCATGGAAGTTTCAACTAGAGACAAGGACTTTATTGGGAAACATACTGGAGGCCATTTGGGTTACACCCAGGCAAAAATAATTTCTGTATTTTACCTATGTTCTGAGACTGCAGGAGACTTGAAATTAAGGTCAGTGGATTTACTGATCTGGCTGAGGAAATTTTAAGGTAGCTCAACACTCAGGCTTGTGCCACAAGCACTACCAGCTGCTTTGATAAAACTGGGCTCAAAAAGTAGAGCAGAGTTGAAAAGTTGGGCAAAAGGTTACGGTTGCTCAAGAGATAAGCTCCGTGGGGCTGGGGATTTAGCTCAGTAGCATAAGCGCCTGCCTTGCAAGTGTACAGTTGTGAGTTTGATCCCTGGTACTGATAAAAACGAAAAAGACAAAAAAAAAAAAAAAAGTATAGAAGAGATAAGCACCGTACACAAAGAAACCAAAGAAGAAAGCTTTGAGGGCACCTCAGAAATCAGTAAGACCCTACCCATCATAGGCTCAAGGGTACAGAAGTTTAACTCTTCATTTGAGAAGAGCACCTCTGAAACTCCTGCTGGAGAAGGGTCTTTTAGGGAGTAGCTTCCCTGGGAGATACATTTCACCATGCTCATCCATCAGAGGCCCCTGCAGCCCTGTTCCAAAGGGTCCTGGCTGTTCTCACTGATTAGCATACCTTGGTATCATCCATATGATAGTGGTTTTACCAGAGTTGTGGAGTCAAGGAAAGTTTCCTATTAGATATAAAAGAAAGGCCTAGAAGAGCAGACAAAGGAGTCCCTGGAAGAGCAGTGCATAAAGTAGTGACAATGAAAACATACTGGAGACCCGAGGAAGGTAAAGGTGCCAGAAATGTGGAATGTCTGCTAGGTAAAGTTGTAGGATCCAGAGCAACACCTTTTGGGGTTCAACCAGCAAGACCATAGGAGTGGGGCTGCCCACGCCGTCTGTAACTCACGTCTCGCCACTCTGTGCTCTGGATGCTGGACGTGAAGGTACAGGACGTAGTGTTTTCCTTGCTGGGTTTCAATCTTACTTTGCTCCAATTCATGGCTGTCCTCCCTTTTGGAATGGGAATGTTTATTCCTGCTATTGTATTTTGGGATTATGTAACTTGTTTTTGGTCTTTCTAGAGGTTCATAACTAAGAGGTTGCTTGGTATCTTAGAAGAGTCTTAGACTTTTGAAAAATACTGGAGCTTTTGAGATTTTTGGAAAGGGATTCTTGTATTTTCAGTTGAACTAAGATAGTTGTATTATGTTAGGCAGACCTGTTAATTTACTAGTGTATTTGGAGATTAAATATGGTGACAGTTAAGCTTCTCAGCTTGATTTGCTTGGGAGCTATGTAAGGGTTCAGTAAAGCACTCTTGGTATGTTTGGATGGGTCATGGTGTCTTATGCTTTGTGTATGTACTATTTGTGGAATGATCAAGAAATATGGCTAATGTTTAAAATACTACAGTGAAAGACACATCGCCATTAGCCCCGTTTCAAAAATATTTCTCCTTGCTTCAAACACATGTATCCCCCACTCTTAGCACTTTCTGAAGCAGTTCTGGGAGCCCTCTTTTATGAGTATCCTTAGTTGTGCCAGCCCTGATGTCCTGAATCAACTTTCACAGCCATTTTGACTAGAGGGAAGAGCCAGAAATTACATGGTGGCAGATTTGATGAATAAGTGTGCTAAGGACTCATTGTAACATTTAAAAGTGAACCCTGGGGTAGCAGCAGTATTTTTGATCATTCTTCAAAAATATCACAAAAGAAGAGTCCCAGAACTAGTTCAGAAAGTTACAAGAAATGTGGGATAAGTGTGTTTGAAGTGAGGACTATGTTGAGGGAAACTAATAGCAGTGTTTCATACTGTTACTTTTATCAAAATTGAAGTATTCTTTGTATGTTACATGACCCCTAGCCCTTTCCTGTCTGGCACTGTTCCCCTATACTGCTTCCTAGCTGCTATCACCTAAGCAGCTTTGCTTAGCCATTCCTTTCTGCTGTGATGTTTTCTTCCTTGGAGCCAGTTTACATTAAGACTCAATCCTCTGAAACTTTGAGTCAAATTAAGCTTAAGTTTTGAATGTCAGATATTGGGAGGATTAAACTTGTGTCCTTTGCAGTAAGCTATATCCCCAGTCCTTATTTATTTTGAGACAGGGTCACACTAAGTTGCTAAGTGGCCCACACTGGGTTTGAACAAAAGATTCTGCTTCATCTTCCTAGAGTGCTGGGATTTAGAGTCATAAATAACATACCCAAGTCTATTGGTATCTTTGAATATTAAAATTTGTCT